GAGAAATAACTTTAAAAATTGCTCACTGCATTTGGTTCTGCATCAAATGTAACCAATTACCTCGTGTAGTCCAGACTTTGAGTTTTACGTGGCAGACAACTCTTCTCTTTTGTACCTCCGATAGATCCATTTTATTTCCCTTGACCGTTTTTCTACAGATATTTGTCAGGACACGAATCAGGTTCTCTTCAAATGCTGCCAGGGGTCTGAAGAGGTACCCTGCAACAAACCGGTTCCTGTAAGCCTCTCTGAGGATCCCTGCTGCCCACTGCATTTCCAGTTGCCTCCTCAGATGTATAAGCCCGAGCAGGTACTGTCTGTGCCAGACGATCTGGAAGCCGGCCCCATGGATCTGTACTTGAGTGCTGCTGAGCTTCAGCCCACTGAGAGTTTACCTCTGGAGTTCAGTGATGTAAGTTAGAGAAGCTCTGCTCTGGTTGGCCCTTGAGGCAAGGCCTTATTTATTAATGGTAAGAATAGGTTAGTTTTGTGGTCAGGAGAGTTGATAAAAGTTTTTGAAATGATATATGTACGGTTATATTTCTATGTTAACATGTTGACTTAGAGACAGTTTAAATTTGCAGAAGTTTTTCTTTTTCTGTGGGAATAAGGGAAATTGTAAACTAAGAGAAATTGGAAAGTCAAGATTATGGTTGCATTTTGTGTAGCCAGGAAATGTGGTACCATCCGCAAGGTGAGTGATTCGCTAGAATCTTAATAATACAAACAAATTCTGATATCTGTTCTTGACAGTGTAAACTTGTGCTTTGACCCTGTAGTAAGGGTTTTCATTTTCAGATTAATGAGTCTCCTAAGAAACGACTCTAAACTTAACTCTGGCTGTGTTTCACTTTTGATATGTTATTATGGAGTCTCTTGTGAACAGACTAGAACAACAGTGATCTCCCTAAGTATTTACTTTACCACCTTTTAAGTATGTACACTACCTTTTTCAGCTTGTTCCTTGATTGGTCCCAGCCCATAAACTCATCTCTGATTTCATTTGTTTTCCTAATTAGCACTACCCTACTATTTGACTGTAGGGATCAATTGACATTCCATCTGTCTTGGCACTTTGCTTAATCTTTAACCTTCTGGATGAGGGTCTTCATTATTTATTCTGAAGATAAATCTTCTGAATTTCATAATAAAAGTGTCTTGTATATAACTATGACATGTTTGAAGTGACAAATCTAAATGGAAAATTCAGTATAGGTTGCAAGATTGTTTGCTAAGGGTAGAAGCAAGGCTTGGGTGGCCTCAGGAATATTGCTCATTAAAAAAGATATATCCAGACAGAGTTATAGCTGAAAAAGTGGCATTAAGAATAAACTGATTTCGGGGCCAGCCCAGTGGCGCAGCGGTTAATTGCGCATATTCCGCTTTGGCGGCCTGGGGTTCGCTGGTTCGTATCCCGGGTATGGACATGGCACTGCTTGGCAAACCATGCTATGGTAGGCATCCCACTTATAAAGTAGAGGAAGATGGGCTTGGATGTTAGCTCAGGGCCAGTCTTCCTCAGCAAAATGAGGAGGATTGGCAGCAGTTAGCTCAGCGCTAATCTTCCTCCAAAAAAAGAATAAACTGATTCCAATTTTTTTTTTGTATTCTCTCCACTTTTTTCTTTTGGTTATATACTGTCTATAGTCTTATTAAACTTTTGATTTTCATTTCTTCATTATAATAAAATTAGAATTTTTATTGTAATCTTGATTATATTTGCTTTTTAAAAAGTTTCTTTCACACAGATTGTAGAATATGAGAACTAGACAGGGACCTTCGAGATTATATACTCCAGTGCTTTCCCAAACTTTTCCAATGTGATTTTGTTGAAGAGAATAAATGAATAGATAGTCCTGGAATGATAAAGACAGATTTTTGTCCACTTCCCTTTATTTTACATGTGAAGAAACCCCAGAAAAGTGCTATTTTTTTAACTTAGTTAATGCTTAGAGCCACTGCATAGGATCTAAAAAATAACCTCTAAGCACTACATAGCCAAACTTTCTTCAGATTTTAATGTATATATATATAGAAACTAGCATGTGTGTTTTATGTAGATGTACTAGGTTACTAACTTTTATTTTGTCTGTTAATTTCTAGAAGCATTTCTCTTGCTCTTTAGAGATAACACAAAATATTAGATATTATAAGATGTGGTCGTAGGTGAAAACTGACATTTAAGGAATCTTAATTAAAAAATATTTAAAAATATATTTTCAAATCTGTTAATCCTTATTTGTGGCATGAATGTATGAGAAGGAACCTTATTTTTGAGGATCCAGTGGGTTTTTAAGATGGACCTTTGTTGTTAGAGGTTTAAAAATGATGAACAATCAGATGTTAGTACTTGATCATCTATTATGTTCATATTAATGTACTTTTGATAAACCACATTGGTTATTAAAAAGTATAGTTTTATTCTTAATCTTTGGAGGTAAAAATTCTCCAGAAAATGTTGAAAGAAAATCCAGTTTTAGAAAGTTTTTGTCTTCCCACAAATTCTGGATATATTTATTAATAGGAAATTTTGTTGGGAAAAAATCATTTCTTAATTATATGAGTTTCACCAAGCAGTCTTAACTTGTTACTTATGTTCTGCCTTAGATATCATTTCTTGTTAAGTTCTGGTAACTTATGGGAGCACCAGGTATCTGATATTAGTATGGGTAAAAATTCAGCCTTTCATTCTGGATATTACACTTGCCTGTTTTCTGTGCTTTGATCCAAGGATGTTTTGGCAAGGAACAATGTAGTACCTTAATCCTGTTACTTTGACTTTGCTTGCTTTTTGTGTGTGTGTGGTTTTTGAGCTTTCTTTTTGAGATCAGAACAAAATGTGGATTCTGTCTTTGTGTTCTCATGCTTATGTCTTTAAATATGCTTGTTATGATAGGCATTTCTGCTGATCCTTTTTTCCTTTCTTATTTTAGGTTCCTTTTCTCAATTTTAATTCCTGTAACAGACAACACTGAATATGTGTGAAAAGCCTTTTCAGTCTCTATTTTCCTTTAAAAACATTTCTATACCATTGTTATCTTGAGACTTGGAAACCTTTTGCCTCACTACTTAAATGGGTTCTTCTAAATTTCAAGTTAATTGCTTGTATAATTAATAGTTGTGCATAGTAAAAGAATTGGAGAAAGCAGTTCATAGTCTTAATCATGTGAGAACTCTAGTTTCTGTGGATAGTACAGAAGTTTCTACCACATATGAAATGGACTATAGGTAGCTGACTATCCTATGTTTCTGCCTAAATAGAGCAGCTTTAAATCCAGTATGTTCTTTAACTATATTCTTTTCTTTACCTTAATTATTGTGAAGATGTGATTCTCCTTTTTGGTGATTAACACCAAAGAAAGGTAAAGCGTTTCACACTCTTAGACTTATTTAAAAGCATAGAACTAAGCTTCTCCTGAAGCTCAATTGCTGGAAACATGGAGCCTCTGTAAAGTGTATCGGGCATAGGGGAGTACAAACCCTTGGGTATTTTTCACTCTTGGGAAGGAGAGTTTAGCAGTAGACTCTTAGAAAGTGATGCCCTGAAAGTCATTTTGACACATTGAGCTCTTGCAATGCTTTGGGCCCTGAATCAAGACCAGTGGTTTGCTGTAGCTGTTGGTTTCAAACAGGAGCCAAGAGCAATGTCTTCCTGTGGTCTGTTGGCCATTCAGTACCCCAGTGGAATGGCCAGTTCAATTGGAAGAAACATAGACTGTAGAATATAATGTCTTTTTTTAAGAGAGCAATTGGACTGTGTTAGGTTTAAGAACCCAAAATAGTATTTCTTAGCCATTCAGAGGGACTTTGAATTTTTTGTCCTTTATCTCCTTTTTTCCTCTGTCTCTCTTGCTCACTGGCTTGCTTTGTGGCTGTTAGGACGTTAATCAAGCAGTCTCATATTGTCCAGTCTTTTAAGGCAATATTTCATTTTAATTTGTAATTATACTGATTGTCCATATTAGATTTACCACTGATGAACTTAGATGTTCACTACAGTTAGTCTTAGAGGGAATATGCTTTTAATAAATATTTCTTTATTATGGTAAAATATTTGTAATAATATTTATCATTATAACCATTTTTAAATGTACAATTCAGTGATGTTAAGTATATTCATAATATCATGCGACCATTATCATTCTGTTTCTAGAACTTTTCCGTCAGCCCAAAAAGAGACTCTAGACTCTGTACCAATTAAACTATAACTCTCACTTCCCCTCTCCCCCCAGCCCCTGGTGGCTACTATTAGTACTTTCTGTCTCTAAGTTTTCCTACTTAAAAAATATACTTTTTTAAGCTGCTATAGTGGTCTGTGCTTTATACTCAGCAGCAAGAAAAAATTCTTGGTGCTTTTGGATCGTATCCCATTTGTTGGACATTCTAAAAAAATCTCATTTTGATTAAAAGTAGGCAAGGGATGAGGGAAGTATGGGAGAATTGCTTTGAGGTTTGCTGAAAAATATGCCAGTTTTAGCTTATTGTTCCCTTGGTATTGCTGATAGGCTTTTTCTTTCTTTTCCTAGGACTTGGATGTTGTGGGTGACGGTATGCAGTGCCCTCCTTCACCCTTACTTTTTGATCCGTCACTAACCCTTGAAGATCATTCAGTCAAAGAAATTGCTGAAGGCCCAGTGAATATTTTGGCAAGTGAAGAACAACCCCAGCCAGGCTTCCCTCATGTAGTGACCCAGCCAGGCAGAGTATTCCCTGTTGGTTCTGGCTAGCATGTACTCCCAGGGAGTGGGATTGTCATCACAATTAGACTGTAAAGGTGCCTCCAGGTGGCACTTCTCCTGGTGGACCCTTAGAGAGAACACCCTAATGGCCCTGGTTCACATATATCTCAGAGAGCAGGACACAAATTTGTTTAGTTAACTAGAAAATGTTGAGATGAGGAATCTAGGTAAATTGTTCGTTAAAAAAGGGTGAGTTCAGCACTTGTTTCCATCATAGAGTAAGGACAAGTTATATGATTTGGCTTCTTTTCTGAGACTTGGGGTGGGATACCGGTGGCCCTGACTGAAGACCAGCAGTTATGCTATAGCTGTTGGTTTCGAGCAGAGGCCCAAAGGACTGTCTTCCCATGATCTGTTGGCTGTTCTGGAACCTCAGCAGAGAGTGGCTATTTCATTTGGAAGAAACATCCCACAGCTCTCCCTCCTGTTGGGAGTGCCTCAGGAATGCTGCAAGCAGTAACTTCTGACTCCAAGGGTCAGGGATAGTTAAGTATGGGGATGAGCAGCGACCCAGCATTATTTTATGTCTGTTGTCTTGTTCTTACTGCTCCTGTACATGGGCATTGATAAGTCAGATTCATGCTTCAGCCCACAGTGAGTGGATTTGTAACCTAAGTGACTTTGTTTTAACAGGGCCAGATGCAGATGGCTGGAGATGGGTGCAGATCGCAGGGATCTCGAAATTCTGAGAAAGCCTCTGTATCGCTGCCTCAGAGTGGAGTGGCTGCTGCAGATGGGAAGCCAGAACCCACTTCTATCAGTTGATAGTTTGTTTTGGGAACCATTTGACTTTGGAGGATTTGAATTTCCCATTCTTTAAACCAGTATTTGTGACTATCTCTCACTAAAGGACAACCCAGACTACCTTGTTTTTCCCCTGGGTTATTGTGTGCTATAGTCAAACAAACCAAATACTGGGGGAAGGGACCGATAGTGTCTAAAAGTTGTGGGTGTCTTCCCATGCTGGGCAGGGAAGCTCTAGAGAGAGAGGTGATTCCTGTCAGAGCTGCTGGGATTGGGAGTATTTGGGACTGTGCCTAAGGGGAGAGACATCTTTGTAATGGGATTTCCTAGGTCTTGGAACAAATCCGCATAGGTGTTTAGCTGGGAGCTGTGTACCCTTGGGATATTGATGGTCTCAATATCCAGTTATCTCTATCTGACAGTCTGCAGTTTAGCCTTTTCTCGCCTCTCACCTAATTGGTTAATCTGAACCTCTCCCCCCAATGAACTCTGACCTATAACCTCTAAGAAAATAGCCCACAGGACTGGGCCCTCCTTAACCATCCATCTTGCTTCTAACTTATGTAAATATCTGTAGTGGCTATCTTATGTAATATTAAAATAAAAAATTATTGTATATAGTTTCTATTAAATGTTAAAATGTTATGAAAATGTAAAACAATCACTTGAATGCATGTTTTGTTTGTGTTTGAGAGTATATATCTATTTTTTTGGGTCCTCAGGAAGCTATCTCTGATGGGAAAGGGAAAACAGGACAGATACACTTCCATTCCAAGGAGTAAATACATTTTCAGTCACCTATTTTGGTTTTGGATTAGAAGATAAGATAAAAACCTATAAGAAGTAAATGGAAAAGGGTGGGACTTCCTTATTAAAGCCTACCAGTTCCAAATATCTTCTTTCTACCTTCCTCTCTGTGCCCCCTACTCCTACTCCCATTTCTTTCTTACTGTTAATGCCTGATTATCATCTCAAAATTCTCAAGTGCTAGCAATATATATATATATATATGTAAAACGTCCAGAGAAATTGGGCCTGATGCTGGATCACAGAGATAGGCATAAGTTGTCCAGATCATTTTGATGCTGATTCTAAGGGTAGGGTTAAGATAGAGGTTCAGTTAAATTAAATTACCTATGATAGAAGTTATCTATTGGTATAATGCATTTTGACAAGGAAGTCAAAAGATTACCTTCTATAAGAACTGAACTGAGGAACAGGGAAGGGTTTATACAGTTAACACCATCATCTTGGCTTTAGTTTACATGTGGTCAGAAGTAACTCAGAAGGCCCATCAGGTGAACTCCTGAGATCACTTTTAACAAGGCTTTCAGTATACTCTTTTTCAGTTTGTGGTATCCATTCCTTTCTTGTCTAATGCTTGTTAGACTTTGTCCACAAAGACAAACATTACTTCTTATGCAGCTGTAAACAAGAACATACCTGCTCCTGGAACAGGATTAGAGATTAGAATATCCTCTTCCCATTGTTTTAAGTAATCTACAAACCACTAGCATTGTCCACATCACCAGGGTGATTGTTCTGTAAATTAACAGGCCTATGAGCGCTTGTCTTTGGAGGGGGGAGTGGAAGCCAAGGATTCTGCATTCTTAGCACCCAGAAATTCTGATAGTCCTTCAAGGTGGCAAATCCAGCAATGGTGAGTTTTGAGAAGGCCATGTATAGCTACCACTCTTCTCTAAGGTCTTGGCTTCTGTTAGGCACAGGCAAACATGAGGATTTGGTAGGAAGAGTCTTGGGCTGCACCATATCTCCAAGAAAGTCTGGTTGATGGAGTCCCTAAGCAGAGGTTCCCTGATAGAGTTGAAATGACCCAGTACCCCTGTTGTGCTCAGTCATTGGTAGCAGCCTGAGGGAAATGTGACACCTTGGTAGATCCAAAGGTGAGGAATTTGGAGGCTATGAGTTAAGAGTTTGTGGTTAATTCTCTTGAAAGGAGATCTGGGTGGCATACCTGCATGGCCACTAGGGTCAACTGTGTTGCTGCAGTTTGTCTTGGGGCCACAGCTTGTACTCATCTTCCAATAAACATTCTGAGTTCCCTTCATCCTTTGTTATCACGTTGGTATGTCTTGGTAGCTTACCTGGTAGTGTGAACCTAAGTCATTCCTGAGGGATCTTGAGCCTTTGGTAATCATGCCCTTCTCAGGCCAGGGTTGCTGGACATGTTCAGTTACAGTCGGGCAATGGAGTACCAAGATGCACCTGTGGTAGAATAGTCATTTCCTAAAATGAGTAGTCCATATCCTGCATTCCTGGGTCCTGTGAACATGTTTCCTGGGCAAAAAGAACTGTGTAGATGTGGTTAAGGGCTTTGAGATGGGAAGAGTATCTTGGATTGCTGAGGTGGGCCCAGTGTAACCACATGAGTCCTTAAAAGTAGAGAGCCTTACCTGCTGTGATCAGAGAAACAACACTTTAGAAAGATTCAGTGTTGGTTCTGAGATGTGGGGGACTGTGTACAGGGGTCGTTGAGGTCTCCAGTTGCTGAGTGCAGTCCCCAACTGACAGCCAGCAAAGAATTAGACCTCAGTCTTGTGTTGCATGAGACTGAACTTTGCCAACACCTGAATGAGTAGGAAATGGGCTCCTGTAGAGCCAACAGAAAGGAGCACAACCTGGCCATACTAGCAGGTTGTTTTCAGTCTGGTGAGACCTGTACTGGGCTTCTGACCTGTAGAATTGTAAGATAATACATTTATGTCGTTTGAAGCCACTAAGTTTGTGGTAATTGGTTATGGCAGCAACAGAAAACTACTACAGCACCCAAGTTGATGACCTGGGTTCTCCAACTGTTGCATAAAAGAATCCTGCCACAACAGAGGCTCCTTTCCTGCTAGTTCTTGAACGCCGAGTTGAAAGTGCCCTGGTGGCAGCTGTAGCTTATAGTTCAACCGGTTTCTTGCTATGTCCCCTGGCAAGAGTGCTCCCCTCTTTGGAACCAAGACCCCTAACTTGGCAGAGCCTAAAATTGTGAGGTGGAAATACCCCAGTGGGTCGTTCAGTGTGATAAGTAGGGCTACTCTGCTTCCATCCCTTGGTCCTGAACCCATTATTCTTCCCAGTGGAACCTAGCACTTTATAGAGATCTCTAATTTAGTGTGTAATACTGTGTCTTGAAGTATGGCACCTCTCCTTGCAAAGTATTTCCTCCAAGGCCAGCTGCTTCTGGATGGTGCAGTATGTGCTATAACCAGTGGATCCCTCCTTTTCTGTGCAGTGGATTCCTTGGTTAGATGCTATGTTCGTAGAATTTCATGTCTGTGGTGCTGGCTCAGGTCCTCTGAGCAGGAAAGGCAAAACCCGTACCTGGAATAAGCATCCCTGTGAGGATGTACCATTCGCTCTCCTAGGAGGGAAAGGGGGTGTTCTACTTACTACTGAGAAGATGGTTGGTGTGGTTGAGGAGTAGTGCCATATCAGGGGCTCAGTGTCGGTCCTTTGTTGGCCAGTTAGACATTTGGAGGGGGCAGTAGCTAGTTAGTAAGTAGGAGTTGTTGGTAAGTAGGAGTCTGTCAGCATAGCTTCCATCTGTCGCTGTGTCTACTTCGTTTGTGTGCCTATCCTAGTTCTAAGGTGGCTGATGATGAAGGATGGCTAACATCAACTAAGTTATTTTGTCCACTTGGTTATTCAGGGCCTTTTCGGTGGAGGATGCTTTCTGGTGGGCATTAGTAAGTGATAGAAAAAAATCTTCACATTTCATGTGCATTCTCATGTCTAGTCACATGTCTCTACCTCACCCTCTTTGTGTGTGTTCTTCTAGTCCCTTTTCTTCCAGTTTCCTGACCAGCTGGCCAGGCCATTGGCCACTGCTCAGCAATCTGTATATTCTCACCTCAGGCCATTTCTCCTTCCACAGAAAGTGGATGACCAAGTGGACTGCTTACATCTTCACCTACTGAGAAGTTTTTCCCCAAGGCTGCCCCTACATATGGCTGCAGTGCAGCTGCCAACAATTTATGGTTTGCACACACAAACTGAGCACCCCCCCCCCCCCCCCCCCCCCCCCCAAACCAGGCTTATTTTTTTCTCCTCCAGCTGGTCTTATGGGTACCCACCTTCAGTAAGTAGATGGAAGGGCCTCCAGTATGATGCAGGACCATGATGATACTTCAGGTTTCTGGGTATCAGTGTCAACTCAGACCTATGTTCACTAATCCTTGAAGGGACTGAGTGTTACAGGCTCTTAATACCAGCCTTAGTATCGGTTCTCCTACAGTGAACCCAGCACTTGTGGGGTTAAAACTGAAAGCACACATTCCCAGCTCCCTGCTGCTTTAGTTACATTCATATGTAAATATGTGTTTCTTTAACCTTTGACTCCCTGAGCTTTACTATGAACAGAAGTTACAAATTGTTAAAGCCCAGGTGGCCTCACGCTGGGCTCCCACTGAAGTGGCTAATCACAGGTCCTTGAAGTTATCACAGGAAAGCTGATGTCCAGAGAATATCAAGAAACTGAAGCTTCCCAGGCCCAACTCCTCGGCTTCCTGGCACCAGAATCCACTGTCTGCCGCAGAGACAACCAGCCAAGGACAGCCACCTGCAGGTAGCCTCACAGGGCCAAATGCAGACTGATG